ATGCAACTGCGCATGTGATTTAGTTGGCGCGCGGCGTGGCAGTGTGCACCTCCTGACTATAGTTTTTAATATAGTTGTTATCAGATGGGGCTGTGCCAACAGGAGTGGAATGAGCCCACCACGGCTGCGGTTTCTACCAATAGTGATCGCCTGGGGTAGAATACAACCAATGGTAGAAATTGTTGTGGGTGGGCTCATTCCAAGTCTCCTTTCACCGCCCCGATTGCTTCGATATTGACGATTAATGATTCGATAGTTAAATGAAATTAAACGAGTTTCATGAAACAACTCTCATTACCCTTGTTGAGCCCTCGAAACCGTCTCCAGCGAGCATACAGGAATGCTCGGGCTTTCTTCATCTCCTTGTATAGCCATATGGTGCACTCGGAGAGAAATTTACCCAAATCTGGAATTGGATTGAGATATTTGATATCTAGTGAAAAACTGAAATGTTTCACCTCCTATAGTGATGATGGCTAACGGCGCTCCGAACAATGCGAACACCACGCATGCGATTCGACCCGATGATGTCGCCGGCACGATGTTACCATAGCCTAAAAAAGGGATCATAAAATCATGATTACCCCAGAGGGGGAAATGATGCTCATTCATGGAAGGACGACAACTTCAATGAACAAAAACAGAAAACTTGTTCGAGTGCGACAAAAAACTCGGCGAGAACTGCCAATTTGGTGCAGTGCGGCTTGAAGGGGGAATTGAACCACCGACCCTTGCCGATGCCTCGCGTGAGGCCTGTAAACTCTTGGCAAGCTATAGTCAGAGCTTCGCTTAAATGCCAAGAATCTATAGACCTCACCATCTTTTTTTCCTTTGTATTCCTTCGAGTTATTTGGCATGAACAGCAGTAAACAAAAATGTTTATGAAGATCATCGCGCCATTGAATCAGTCTCGGCAGGTCGACTCTACCTTCATTGGAACTTTATTAAAGGCAGACTTCGCGATGAGCCAGCGGAAAGCTCTTGGGTGCAGGGTTGAGAAACAGAATTTCATGGGCTAGTTGAATTGTTCGTGAAGAAAACGAAGGAAAGGAAACCGTTGAGAAGGTTTAAACAAGGCCCTACTCGTGCCACGCAAAAGACAACAATCAATGTGGATATCGGGGAGAGGCCAGAGAAAACAGCGAGAGAGCATGCAAACGAAGGAGAGCATAGATAAGACATCTATCACTGTGGGCGGAGTCACTTGAGTAACCTTGTGCTTTCCCGCCGCTACATACCTTACCACTTTCTGACGTGGGACTTATACAGGATTGTTCGTTGCAGTTCACACTACCTCTCCAGACGAAGAGTTTGGCTAGCTATAAGTGATCGTGAGCTCTGCTTTCAAAAATTATGCAATTCAGAGTGTAAGCGAAAGCGAGCAAAATGGCTCAGCTACCACATGCACGGCTTGTGAATCAGGTCACAGAATGAATCTCATCCAGCCAGATCAACTCTTTTTTTGTTCACTGGTTTCAAACTCATCTGAGAGAATAGAGCGCTTGCACAGTTGATTTCGACGCTATCAGTCGGGGCGGTGTTGACAAGCATAGAATGAGCCTTCCGGCGGCGTTTTCACCACAGGGTCGGTCTCTTCGTTAATCACTTTGGTAGCAGACGCGTCGAAGGCAAGCTCTTGCAAACCCTTCCTACACTGCCCAGAGTGATTGCAATGATGTCAACTGTTAGGTTGGCCCATAAGTAATGGCGTTTTTTGTCACACAAATTTTTATATGGAAAATGACAATTGTTCCCAATATGTTCTACACTGTTTGATAGATAATTTTCCGCACTATAAGATAGTATAATTGCCTTCTTACTATTTCTCGACTTGTGTCGATTTTTATTTCATTGAAAGGGAAATTCGGGTCAACGAAAGTGAGTTTTCGACAACCACTTTTTGAATTTTGTCTCGGCTCTCAATCCTCAGACCTTGTGGTATATATGACCAAAGGAAGATGCGTCTTATGACAGCTTGAAGTTGGTTCAAGCGATCAAGAGGTGGGAATTCGGACCTTGTAAAAGAGCATCGCGTGGGGGCCTCTTGGGGAGGGACTGCCTGCAGAACCTACCCACTTATTTTCGAACGTCTAACATCAACTGAGGGTGGTGGTTGATAATGATAAGGAAGCATTCTATGACCTCTAACGATCCCTCAATCTTTGGCATGATTCTCAGTTAATAAGGTAATTCCGTAAGCTCTCAGTTGGACAGAATAGGGCATTAGGTTCGATGCTTGTCTGTGAGGTCGAAACTGA